AATAACGATTGCCCGACCGAACGGGACCACCCTAGCACGCTAATATCACTTTGCATCGTCGGTTTAAAGTATAAGTAAAAGTAGTACACCCTCGTCGTCTCCGTTCCACGGTGTCCGTTCCGGTGAGGAAGCGCCTCGCCATTTTGTCGCTGCGTTCCGCGTCGGTGTTCCGCGGACCCTCCTCGTTTCCCGATCAAGTCACCCGATGATGATGGCGCGCTCAGCCTCGCAGCAAAAGAGCGACCGACCGCTCGTTTGCTGCGTCTGCTGCCGTTCTGCGCTTTCGAGCCCGTGTTCGCCGCGTTCCCCGCGAAACTAGTTCGGCCCACGAGACTCAAAAACTCGCTTCTAGAACCAGTAGAGATCTTTCGAGTCCTGCACCTGGGACTCGAGACCTGGAACAAGGAAAATGATGTGCGATTTTCATTTCGTGCTGAATTTTGATTTTATGTGCGGGGTCTTTTTTTTGTCGATGGATTCATAGACGGTGCGGATTATATTAGGTTGTCCCACAAGTTCTTTTCGCGCTCTGTCCACAATGTTTAGTCTGGCTTTAAAAGTTTGAAAGAATGACGTTACGAGGCTTTCAGAAGAATGGAAGAATTAAAATGGATTGCGCGTAATTCGATAGCACGACGTAAAACATACAGTATTAATAACTCAATGTGTATCGACAAAAGGAACTTTTGGGACAGTAGAATAGTTTCTATATTGTGCAGTTTTATTTGTGTTTGATAATGGAATGCAACGTGCGCCATATAGGCAGTGAGAAATATTCTATCACTCCTATTCAGGGGTGGAACAAATAAAAAGTTTGATTGGAATGAAGATAAATAGTTGCAGCAATTCGTACATCTTTATTCGTAAACCTTTTTTAAGCGTGTTCTTTCTTTATAAAAATATGAAGGTGTTAAACCTGTCGGTATCTAGCTTGAGAGTTGAATTTGTATGGCAAAGATTGCGACGTTGCTATACGTCCCGTGTTTTCAGATTCATTTACTATACGGAATTAAAAATATTTAAATGTATCATGGATATTATGTCGAATATTGTATACACTGACAACGAATATAATTTTCTAAATTTAGTTCCTTTTCCATTTTTTTAATGAAAAGGCATTATATATTGAATTATATTAAGCTACATACAATGCTTTATACCTTGTTTGATCTTATTGTAATGTTTCATGCAAAGAGAACTTTATTTTACTGTAATATTTGTCATATAATGTTTGGTGTTGAAAAATTAAGAAGAGCATTTCAAAAATTATTTCAACCTCAATGTACTTAAAATAATTGTTTAAATTTATTATTAAGGAATGTTTTTAATCAGACAGCGTTAAAAATTAATATTTTAATTTAAACAATACAATCATGTCTACGCGATATAGACCGTCAAACTGTTAAGAGCAATGCACGCAGGAATTTCAATTTTGGGAGACTGCAGTCAAGTTGAAGTGTACGTTGGACAGAATGGAGTAAAGTAATTGACATTTCAGTGCGAATGCCTGTTACAAACTTCCATACTAATTGATATTAGTAACCGATCTAAGGAAGTCTATTGCAAATTTACTAAACCAAAATTTAGTACAATTTTATATTTACTTTATAATATCTTAAACAGATACATCAATTTCCCAAGCTTATTAAATATTAGGCAAACAGTTAATACAACGTGAAATCTTGTCTTAGGTATCGATTACTTTACTAATATTCTTAAAAATACAACCACATTACGAATAAATGCCTATAGTGGTTTATCTAAAAACAATTAAGTTGATCATGAAATCTCATGCTTTCTATTAACACTAAAACTATCGAGCAGTTCAACTTTCTGAAATTTCTCTATAGAAACTCCAACAGTGCATCTATTAACACTTTAATTGATTTCCAATTCAGTTTACATACTGCTAAATCAATTTCTTCAATACTTTCTCAAAGAAACATCTACTACCTTTTTAATCATCGCAATAAGTAGACATCTGGAATCATTTTGACCCGTCTGCTAGTTTCAGCGTCGAATCAGACACATTGTGCATCTTTCAAAGAACCAATCGCAAAATGAACTTCTTTCATTCGATTATTTCAAACTATATTCAATCATAACTTCAGTCGTATTTCACATGTCAGCTATCGCAAGCGATCCCAATTAATCGCTGAACGAACACACGAACCTTCTGCCGATTCCAATATCTCACAATACGCATTCCCCCCCCGAAGAAACTTTTTAAAGAAGCTTAAAATTCCGAAGCCCCGACAACCGGGAACATTTCAGTTGCACAGGTAAGGGTTAAGCAATCATCAGCCGGACTCGGCCGATTTCACTGGCCGTCCCCGGGGACAGGACTTTCTCGTACAGGACAAGTAATTGGTTATACGGAAAGGTAGGAATGACTTTTTCTTTCCGAGGGACCAGCTCATCGTTCATCGAAATTTATAACGCGGCCAGCCGCGTAATAAAAGAAGAGTCAACGTTTTGACGGATGCGAGGGTGCAGAACTGGTGATGGCACCCGCTGAGCGACACGGACGGACAAACCGACGTACCAGCCGAGAGGGAACGAAACGGAACGGAACGGACAGACGGGCGGACGGACGGACGGACGGACGGACGGACGACCGAACCGGCGGACAGACAGACGAACGGATGGGGGACAAACGGAATATGTCACGGGTTCGACCAGTTAAGATCTCATGTTCCTTACAACGGTTGCACGCCTGCGTCCCGGGCTATCTTTGATCTTGATATCTCCGAAGGGTGACCGTGCGGATCATTCTGGCCCTCGAGAGTACACTTCGACGATACGCTATCCCTCGATAGCCGTTCGTAATTAAGGAGAAGTTTATAGGAATCCGATGGATCTCGAACAAACAGTTGTATTTACGAGTAGAGATCGGTCGGGGCAGGGTAAACTCGGGTTACCATGTTAATACTTTCTCGTTCGATCTAGGAACGAGTGTTCCGTGATCGGTGATCGACGATATTTGGTTTTTGTTGAAGTTAAAGCATTGACCATGCTGTACCGTGTTTTGGAAGACCCCGCATCCTTGCAGTGATTGGTTAACTAGTACTCCAGGTGTAGGTGCATGTACTGTCGTGGCAGTTTTTTCCTTACTTAGTTCTAACTGTGCGCCCGTCTTGTAACCACCGATTTCTACCAATAGTTTCTTCACCGTTTAATATCTCTGTAGAAATATAACTATTACTCTGATATACTCTACGCGTGTATTATTTTATTTCACATAACACCTCAACAGTTTTAAAATTATCGTGATGTTTTTTTTTCTAGTGTCTTCGTATCTGTCTTTTGACTGGACGTTATTAACCGGTTAACTGTGTTTGACGAGTATACATCGTGAAGCTTGACACGATACTAATTCTTTCATGAATTCTTTATTCGTTTGCATAAACATGTAATTCTTTGTTTCGCTTTGATCTTTGTAAGTTTTCCTAAGTTTCATCTCTCTTTCCTTGAAAACATTCTTTCTATTCCTCTTCTTTTAATATCATTCTTCGACTTTCGTAATGTTCCGCCACTGAATGTACATCACAGGTTAAACAAAGTGGTATGCAGTAATTATTATCGAACACAGCATATAATTATTGAAGCCGATTTAAAATTCAATCGAGGGACGCAATGAGCTCACGTTTGAGTACATCAATTCCATTATCTATAATGTTACTCCGGTCCAGTTATCAGACAACGCGCGTCCATGTTGAATTAAACGCCGCCGGACGTTGGTGTAATTTCAAGTTACAGCTCGAAGTGGTGGATCGATGTTTTCGAATGCTTAAATTCACGGCACGTGGTACACCGTACGGCCGATTAAGTTTGTATCTGTCGGCGCACACGTGCCAGCACGTGGATCTACCTGCTTCAAAGTCAGGAACGTGTGCGCCCGTACGTTACCATATTGGCGCATCCACGCTGAAAGAAACACGGGCGGAGGCACAAAAGATTTGATCTCACCGGTGACGACGGGAACGCGAAGCACTATTTGATACAAACCCACTGAGCTGGAAAATGATGCTAGAGCACACCGTGAGAAGGGGCGCCGCTTCGGTAGTTGAGTATCGGCGAAGCGATACAATTCCAAATGCTCGATTTTCGAACGCAGATAAGAAAAATGATTTTCGATCATCAGAAAAGGATGCATCAAAGTGTATAAACAATTTTCAGATGCAAAATTTAGGAAGATTATATAAGATAGATCGAGAATCGACATTTTTTCTCATAAATTTGTTATTAATACACATTCAGCTTCGATGTCAGTAAGCAGAGTTATTATCAAACTTGAAAACCTTCGTTTTATTAGCAAAAAACTTAGAAATGAGAAATATCCGATTTGCTCGAAATTCTGGGGTGGCAAACAACGGTTTGAAGCAATTGAAAATGGATGGTTGGCATGCCCATTTCTATAACAATGCAACAAATATGGTCAATATTCTTATTTTTATCCGATTCGCATCGGTCTACCCTATTATTTAGTTTTATCTTCTATTTAGTGAAACCTTAATATGGGTAGAGCAATTAGGACTGACATCTTGTTTTTAAATTGTCAATTTCACGTGGATAATTTTATATTTTGCTTATTCTAATCACATAAACGTAAGAAAATATGAGAAAATTCAATATAATTAACCAAAGTAAATATTAACTAGACACATCATTATAAAAATATTGAAAGATATTAAATTTTCATCTCCATTGCAGAAATTGTAACCAGTGTTCTAAAATAATATTTCTTAAATACGTATAGTAAATTGTATCTATATTATATTTTATAGAAATATATATTATCGATTAACTTATAATATTAATTGCAATTAAATATAGATTGCAATGTGCCTAGAATACCTTATGTATAAATGTAATGTAAATTATAAGATTTTAAGAGATATTAGGAGATTTCACACGATCCATGGATCCTTCCTAGCATATGCTTAGAGATAATCTTCACAGAAGTCCCATGGGGATTTAACTATCACCTGATTCTGTTTACCCTACGGAAGTTACGCACCCCATTCGAATACCCTGTAAATATTGAGTTAACCCACAAGTCGAGACTCTACAAACAGTAGATTACTCCATGGGTAACCCCTGTGAAAATCGTTAAACGCTTCCGAATTGTATTTACAAACACCACAGCCAATCTTTTAATCCAAACAACCAACAGCTTGCTTCGTATTAAAGTGAATTATATTAATTTAATCATATCCCATATAAATCAGATACAAAATCTTAGAAAACTTTTATGTTTCCATCTGAATCCCAAAAGTCAAGACATTCTACTCGATTAAAATACAACGCCTCACGCTATCTAAACATGTAAAAATTATCCAAAAATATCAACATACAAAATTTATAAGCGCAATTACATTGGTTATAGAATTTT